CAAAGTGATGAATAGCAAGAACCTACAACCAAGATTACTCTACCCAGCAAAGCTATCATTTAGAATTGAAGGTCAGATAAAGAGCTTCACAGACAAGAAAAAGCTAAAGGAGTTCATCACCACCAAACGAGTATTATATGAAATGCTGAAGTGTATTCTTTAAGAAAAGGAAGAAGAAAAAGATAAAAAATATGAACAACAAAATGGCAACAAATACATACCTATCAACAATTGAGTATAAAAATCAAATGAATAAGAAATCTAATGAATGGAATAAACTGGTGAATAGAATCAGAGGCATGAAAATGGAATAGACTGACGATTCTCAGAGGGAAGCGGGGGTGGGGGAGTGGGAAGAGATTAAACAAAGATCTCATATGCATGTATGCATTACCTATGGACACAGATAATAGGGTGGTGAAGGCCTGGGGTGGGGTGGGAACCAGGTGGAGGGGAGCTATGGGGAGAAAAAATTATTATCTGTAATAATCTCAACAATAAAGATTGAAAAAAAAGAATTTTTTAAAAAGAAAAGATGATAGTAATTTTTAGTAATATCAGTAACCAACAGATCAATATCATTTAACCTATCTTTTTGAGGAACACATTCAATTTATAAAGGTAACTTTGGCTCAGATTACAAAATCCAAACAATTGATCATTTACCAATACACATTTTCACAATTGTCATCTGAAATGACATCCCCCAAGGGGTCCCGGATTGCGAGAGGGCAGTTCTTGGGTGACATACCTTGGAATTGGGCTCCCTCCTCTCTGGTTCTGGGTGCTCTGGTTTCAGGTGTGTCACCCGAGAACCGCAGCTGTCAAGTCACTGCAGCTTGGCAGCTCCTGTGTTGAGCATCTGCCCCCTGGTAGTCAGTGAGCGTCATAGCTACCTGTCTGATGGCTTTCATATATATAGATTTGAAAGATACAATAAAACTGTATTCCCTGGGCACATCCCAAGAGTTGGAACTCATCAATATGACTCAATATTTTCCAGACAATAATGTGCAGAAAATTAGGCCTGACTCTCTGACTCTTTGTCTTTAAAGCCTCAAGAGAAGCTGGGAGGAGGAGAGCCTTTGAGAACCCTTCCATGGAAATAAGATGCCCAATGAATATGCTTGGCAACTGAAGGTGCAGGTTGAAGGAGATCTTGGCAGACAATGATGAGTTAAGAGTAAAGCATACTCACCTGAAAGTAATATGATATTGTATGTCAATTGTAATTTTAAAAATCAATTAAAAATGCATTTCTAGAGAGGTGGCCTGAATAATAATTGCTGATATCTATTGAACATTTACTATGATTCAGGTGCTGTGCTAAGCACTTTATACATAAAACTCAACCTTCATATCAACCCATTATCATCTCATGTTACAGATGGGGAAACTGTGGCACAGAGATGTTGTAGGAAAGAGCAGGAATTTAGGAGCTGGACAATTCTGGATTGAATCCCTAGCTCTGCAGGTCATAGAGTGGCTTATAAACTCCTAAATCCTCAGTTCCTTAATGTGGAAGGTGGTATGACTGTGAAGGCTAAATGAAATCTATAATAAAGGAGGTGCCTGGCAAATCTTCAAAACAATGTTAGCCAGCTTCCCTTGCTCCTCCTCCCATCTTACGCAAACCTGCATTTATGAATGCTGTTGGAATTTAACCAAAGCAAACTCTTACCTTCTTGCTTTCCCCCACTCCAGCCACCTACTGGTAGAGTCATCTGTACCTTAGCCAAAGAACTGTCATCCAGCCTCAAAGTCCCAGTATATTTGCATGGCAGGGACCCCAGAGATGGAGGCAGACAGGATCTGCTCAGGAGCATACGATTACATGGAGACAGAACTGCTGGTTAGGTTCCCCCCTCTTCCCTAAATCTTGTATTCCAAAGACTTACCCATATCAGGGGCACAGGCCTCATCGGCTTTGGCAGCATTATCCACATTCTGTATATTAGAATCTGAAGAACAAAGAGAAGATTTAGAGGCCAGCTCACACCTCCAGCTTCCTAGAGGGGCAGGTAGGGGACCTTCCTCGAAGTCTGGATCACTTGGGTTGTATCTGTGTCTCTGGGTGTCAGCTCGGTTCATGCTTCCTTGTTGGGGTTTACTGTGTTTTCCCCATTATAATCCAAGTTCCAGGAAACAGTGACCATACCATACCTTTGTGACACTCCCAGGTTGGTTGCAGCCTGGGCACACTAGCTGGATGTGGCAGCCTTTGCGGAAGGCTCTCTTCTCCCTGTGCTCTTCTTCCCCCATCCTCCCTCAGATCCTGAGTGGCAAGAATTATGCCCCACCCCCTTACTGAGAGATCCATCAGACAGGACTTCCTGTGAGGTCCAGTGAAGAAAGGAGGTCTGGCCCCCTATTCCCCAGTCAACTCCATAGGGAAACTACTATGCCTGTGGCAAGTGGGCCAGAGCTGCAAAACCTCTCTTCCATAAAATGCTGGTCTATGTACCTGGGGCACTGGCCTCACTGTTTCTGGTCCCCTCCTTTGGGCGGTCAGGGACCTCCTGTCTGGGCTTCTGGCTGAAGGCCAGGAAGAGGTGCGTGCTCAGTGGCTGGGGCAGGTCCACCTCCAGGTATGCCCTCATGAACAGCTTGAAGACGTCATAGCTAATTGTCTGAAAAGAGACAAAAAGGGCAAAGTCAGTGGAGATACTCCAAGGACAGAGAGGAGGCACAGAAGGAAAAGGAATCGGGGAGCTGGCAGACAAGAGAAATGAAAAGGGAAGCAGAAGGAAGTGGAGGGGTTGGTGGGGGCAGGAATGAAAAGGCCGGCGGGAGGTGACAGAGAATGACAGGCACCGAAAGCAGGTGGGGGAGGCGAAGAGAGAACACTGGAGGCTGCAGGGCTTAGTGGGGCACGGAACCACAGGAGGCTTTTGTAACAACACATTGCTAAATTTAGGTAGAAAAGGGAGTGATGGAGAGTGAGCTCTGGGCGTGGAGGCCCCAGGGCAGGGCTCTGCCTGCATACAGACCCCTGGGAGGGACTGGTCTCCAATGAGCAAGACTAGGTCAGTGCCCTGGAATCCTGGTTAAGATGAGGCATGCCTCAGGCCGTTTGAAAACATGGTGGAAAAGAATGGCTTTTCTGTGATGTGTCAATTTTCTCCTTGTGCTGCAAGATAATTCCCGAGTATTTAGGTCTCAAAAATAGAGGAAAGAGCTGGAAGAGAAAAGGACAGACTCCATCCTTTATTTTCATAACTGATCTTCCCTGGACAAACCTCAAGATTAACAGAGGGGAGGGTGTGTGTCTGGCTCAGCTACTCTCAAAACATGGCCTTGCGAAGGTTTTAGGCACCGGGAGAAGAGCAGGAAGCCAAGGACAGAAGGGAGAATCAAGAAATATGCCCCAAACTAGAGCCTCTCCCTGCTGTCTCTCTCCCAGTGCCTCTGGGCTCCCGGGCCCAGGCTGGGAGCAACCATGCCAGGGAGGGCTGCTGCACTCAGCAACGCTCAACAACAGTTTGCAGTGAGTCATCACTGGCTCCTGCTTTGATGGCATCAGATTCTTCATCAAATCGGCAGATGCTCCTGGAGCTCATTTGAGGAAGCATTACTCCAAGATCTGCTGTGCAGGCTTTTGTGAATAATAACAGTCATGAGAATAAAATCCCTGGTTGGGATCCTACTTGGCTCTCCCACTAAAATGTTGATAGCATTTAACCCCTTGTCTCTTCGGGAAGCTCTAAGAGCCTTTCCAGAACCAGGAGCTGGCTTGCCTGGGTACCATCAGGTTTGGGATACAAAGTCTTAGCCTTAAAAACAAGGGATGCCCTCCTGACCCCATTGGGAAGTCACAGGCAGTTTCTATTCAACCCCAGGCAGAGCTATTCTATATATCTCCTTTGCAGATTGGAGGAGAGAGGATAATATAGGCTCTTGCCAGCTAAAGGGATTTCTAAGCAAATGTTGGACTCATATTTCCTGCAACAGCTACCAATCTCTGTTTCCCTCCCTGTCTTTTCGGCCCCTGAGTCTCTGTGTCTCTCTGTTTCATCCACTTTTTGTCCGTCTCTGTCTCCACAGCCTTATCAGCACAGAATGTCTCTTCCTCACACATCCACCTCCTATTTTCCAGTATGCAAGAGCAAAAACTTTTCCTCCTACTTTCCACCTAATATGACCTTTGACTCCACCCTCCCTGCCTCTGATGGCATCTCCCAGCAAGCATCTGCTTCTCTACTTGTGAGCATGTTCAAGGTCACCATTCCAAAGAAATTGCTGGCTAGTTGAGCTACTAGCTTGTCCTTCTTCCCATCCCCTTCAAATTCCTCCAAACGGACCCCATTAAGCTTCTCACCTGCTTAATCTCATTTGCTTTGGATTCTGGCCCTGCTCTCCTGAAGGTCACAGATGCAGTTGTCGCTTTTAGACTTTCTCATCTTTGGCTTCTCTGTAGCATTCCTTTCACTTTTCTTCTTGGAACTCTTGATTTTCCATGGTCTGGTAATATTTTGGTTCTCTTCTTTGATTTGACTAAGTATTTGCTGACAGCACTGTTATTCATTTTTTTTAAAGGCTTTTTTTTTGCATTGTTTTTTCTTTTGTGCTCTTTCAGTTGACAAGTACTATTTTAAAATGTAGTTTTGAGTTCCAAAATGTCCTGCTAATCTTTTCATTTTTGGTTAGCATCAAATTGAAAACTATTAGCATAAAATATTTCTGGAAAATAGACTGTACTAAATGATTTAATAAAAAGAATGCTCTGTTAAACAAAGCCTAATTGCAATGCTCTTTAAAAACCAAAGCTGCTGAAACCGGTTTGGCTCAGTGGATAGAGCGTCGGCCTTCAGACTGAAAGGTCCCAGGTTCGATTCCGGTCAAGGGCATGTACCTGGGTTGCAGGCACATCCCCAGTAGGAGATGTGCAGGAGGCAGCTGATCCATGTTTCTCTCTCATCGATGTTTCTAACTCTCTATCTCTCTCTCCCTTCCTCTCTGTAAAAAATCAATAAAATATATTTTTAAAAAATAAATAAAAACCAAAGCTGAGCCCTAACCGGTTTGGCTCAGTGGATAGAGCATTGGCCTGTGGACTGAAAGGTCCCAGGTTTGATTTCGTCAAGAGCATGTACCTTGGTTGCGGGCACATCCCTAGTAGAGGGTGTGCAGGAGGCAGCTGATCGATGTTTTTAACTCTCTATCCATCTCCCTTCCTCTCTGCAAAAAAAAAAAATCAATAAAATATATTTAAAAAGCAAACAAACAAACAAAACAAAGCTGAAAGACTGTCAAACAAGGTCAGTGTGAGATTCAGGAGATATCCTGGCTGGTTCTCCCTTCTTTTAACCTCCATTTATTCTTCAACATATTGTGAGTGCTGGGCTAGGAGACCTCAAGTTCTAAACCTCAATTAGCTTCCTCCCTATACCAGCTACTCTTTCTGCAGTTTCTGTTAATGTCAATAATGCCATTATTCTCCCAACATCCCAGGCTCAGCTTTGAACTCCCAGTAGTCTGAGACTAGTTCTTGTCTCTCCCTTCTGTCTGCTGTTCTTTTGCAATGTCTGTCGTATCCAGGTCTGCTTTTGTCCATTGCCCATCTACCACCACACTGACAAGGGGGCCCTTGCAGGACCCATTGACCCTGATTTCAGACTTCTGTTGCATGTATCCTACCTGCACTGTGGCAATACTTCTCAAAGGCTTCCTTACCTCCACCTCCATCTGCTGGCCTTCCCATCTTATCCTTCCTTGCCAGGTTGAACTTCCTGAAGCAGAATGCTTCCTTACTCAGAAATCTCCATGGCTTCTAATTGCCCACAGGAGAGTTGAGATGGGTTGTCTCCAAATTTTTAAAATTATGTGTGCACCCATAACATTTTTTTCAACATCCATAACATTTTGAAGCAAAACATTTATCTTTACTTATAAGTTATATACATGTATGATGTGCTCCTCTATTTTACTTTATAAATCATATACAAAAAAATTAGATGAAATAAAGATAGATGTAAATAGAAGGTCTAACATGTAGTATTTCCACAGTACAATGATCTCCTGTGCACTCCCTGAGTCTGGGATTCACAGTCCTCCCATAATCTCACTCCAACCTAGATCTGTAGTTACTTCAAGCTCTGAGACCATTCTGGTCTTTCTCCTATTAGTGCCTTTGTGTACCTCCGCAGGCTTTCTACCTGGATCTCTGTGTTTTTCTCTGGCCAACCCGCCATGTGCTTTGCATGAACTGTTTCTGTCTCTACTTGTTAAAACTCCAGCTATCCTTTAAGGTCTGGTCCATATTCCACCTTCTCCAGGGGTTCTGGCATGACCTCCTGTGCCTGAATTGCTTTACTTTTCCACCTTGGTTCCTGTTTTGGGACACTCATATCTGCTGCCCTCTATTAATATATAGTTGTCTGTGATGTAGAGATCCTGGAAGGAAGTGAAATGTCTTATTTCATCTCTGTTTCCCCATTACTACCTAACACGGTGTTTCCTGATGGGTATTTTAATGAATGTTGGATTCCTAATTGGTACAGTTGACTGTCATCAATTATTGTGGGGTCCATTCATATATAAACTGAGTCTCCTAAGTATAAGACAGTGCTGGACAGCACTGAGGAACACACCAAAGAGTTAAGCATGGTCCATACCTTCAAGAGATTCAGTCATATATATTTATATATATGGTAAAGGTATTGAAATAAATCTAAAACAGGTCAACAGTGGTGAGTACCATAGGAAAAGAATGAACAAAGTGTTTCAAGAACTTAGAAAACAGTAATGAATGAACACATGTTCGATTATTTATGTTCCTATCCTACGACGGAACAGGGTGGTATAGAATAAGCCTGGAAACACAGAGCATTCACATCAAAACAGTTCAGAGGAGACTAGATCTTCTCACACCACTGAGGCCTATAAGTTTAGTGATTGTCCCCCCACCCCGACCCCCTAGCTAGTGGCAGAGTAAAACCAAAAGCCAGATCTTCTGACACCTAGTCCAGTGCTCCTGTTACTGTATCTACCAGAGGTCCCAGTGCTGACATCATGTTCCCTGTCACTCCCTCTAAACACCCCAATTTCAGTTGCCAACAAATATGACTCTGTGCCATTGTCAAAATGACACCTGGATTATGAGAGAGTGTGTTCTTTATGAGCACAGGCCAGATTCAGAGTAGCTGTTAGTAAATATCTGATGGGTAGAAAGTGGCTAGGTACTACGTCCAAACCTGATAACTAATTGCTATGCGGCACATTGGCAATTCTCTGAGCCCTGGAGTAACATCATAGCCTCTGACATTGTTCAAGCCTGTTACCCACCCCACCAAAAAAATTCCTGCAACTTTCATGTAAGGCCTGATCCACACGCCATATAGCTGGGCAACTGTCCCTACAACCTGTGTAAGGAGAGTGTGCTCATTCTTACACTGGTCAAGAAGGGAAGGGAGCTAGATGGAGCGTTTACTGTGCATCGGGCATTTTACATGCATGGTCTCCCTTAAGTTCAAAAACAATAGTGGGAGGTGGGACTGTTACTGCTCTTTGTGGATGAAAAAAAATTCTGAAACATAAATAACGTGCTCAAAGCAGCATCAGAACTGATTTGTGTATAGGTGTGTCTCAGTTTCAGGTCACGGTGCTACCAAGCCATCGTGTCCCTTTCATTCTGATGCTCTTGTTACTTCCTGTCTTCAGCTGCACTCCGCTCTCCAGAGAACTACACAGTGCTGATGGGCCAGGGGACGTTGCTCATGGCCAGGTGCAGCCCTGCCACTCTACAGACTTTCATTCCTCACTTCGCTCTGCTAGTCACCTGACCCTTCCCACAGCTGGCTTGTTTCTCGTGGAGACATTTTAGCAGCAGTAAGCCATCAAGCTTAAGAGAAATTAAGCCCTGTTGTTTCCCCAACCCCATGCCAGGACATTACACCTATTAGAAGTCAGCCACACTGTGAAGGGGAATGAAATCAGAGTGACAGAACTCCCCTGGGACACAGCAGTGCTGCACATACAAAGAGTGGGGGCCAGCATGATGGCGGTGGGGGTGGCAGAGTGCTCATAACAGCCGAGCTGCTGCTCCCTGCTTCTGAAAGCTCCTGTGGCCTTCACACCCTGGGTGGCCCTGACCAAATTGTTCCCCTCCCACTTGCCAGCTTCAGGGCGGACAGGTTGATTAGCAGCCCCCGCCAGGCTTTGTTCCTATGTTTTTGGAGCTGGGCTGGGAGTGTGGGGGGGAGGCTGAGAGTTCTTTGTTGGCTCTGCCATCTTCCCCGCATGGCTTCTCTTCAGGAATGTCTTTTGAAATGGTGCATACTCAGTCTTGCTTCAGTTCCAGCAACCTTCCTCTGGCTTTCTTCTCTTGATGACGGGTGCATTTTATCCAACGCCCCTCCCAGATGTACCTGGAGAACATGGGCTCTGTGGATTCCTGCCCAGTGCCCAGCAGAGATGTTGACTCAAAGTTTGTTGAAAGGATGACAATATGAATAAGTGGCCAGCCTTTCCTCAAGTTTGCCTGGCTGATTGGTCACTTTTCCGCAACTGGCCCTCATAACAGGACCCAGGAACAGGGAAGAAGTTGAGTTGAAAACATTCTGGGGAACTGGGACAGAAGGGGAATAATGGTGGGTAATATTTTTAAGTGTCTCGTCGAAACTTTAGACACTTGGCAAACATTATCTCATTTAATCTACTATCTGCAAACTTCAAGGTCCTTTTTGTTGTCATTGTTATCTTCAGGTCACAGATGAAACAATGAGGCTCAAAGAGGTGAAATACTATTCAAGGCCACATTGCCGGTTGGCAGCAGAGGTAGGGGTCTAACATAAACCCCATGTGAGTCCAGGGTCATGGCTCTTAAACTTGACCCTGTCAGTAGGAAGTAAGTTCCAGAAGGGAGGAACTGTGCTTTCTCATCTTTAAATGTTCTGCAGTACCCAGCACAGTGCCTGGATGTTCAAGAAATGTTAGATGAGTTGAATTTGAAAGTGGGAGAGGTCTTGCATTCATTCATTTATTCAACAAACATTTGCTGAGTGTCTTCTATGTTCTGAATACTCTTCTGGGCCCCCAAGACACAGCAGTGAACAAATAAGTGTCTATACAGAGATAGACAAATAAGTGAGTTACATAGTGGGCCAGATGGTGAGAAGTACTAAGGAAGAAAATGAGGCAGAGCAGTGGGATAGAGAAGGTGATATTCACAAAGAAGATGACTTGAGCCAACACTTGAGGTGAGAAAATGAACAATGTGTTTATCTGGGGGAGGAACATTCTAGGAAGAGGCAAAAGCAAGTGCAAAGGTGCTGAGGTTAGGGCGGCCTTGGCTTATTTGACAGCATCAAGGAGGCTAATATGGCTGGAAGGAATGAGGATAGGAGAGTAGCAAGAGATGGGGACATAGCGTAGGGGGAGCTGCAGATTGTAGTGACCTTGACTTTTATTCTGAGTAGGGGTTGGGGGGGAACCATGAGAGATTATTGAGCAGAGCAGTGACATTATCTGACTTAAGTTTTAGCAGATTGCTCAGGATGTGTGTGAAGAATAGACTTTAAAAGTCAAGAGCAGAAACAAGGAGCCCAGTTAGGAGACTACTGCAATAATCTGGGCAGAATATGGTGATGACTCAGGCCAGGGTGGGAGCACTGCTAGTGGTGAGATGTGGCTAGATTTGGGGTATATTTTAAACATAGAAGTGACAGGGTTTGCTAGCGAATTGGATGTGGGATGTGAGAAAAAGAGAAAAGTCAATGATGACTCCATAGTTTTAGGCTGAATAACTTGAAAAATGGAATTGCCATTTACTGAAATGAAAAGACTGCGGGGAAAACAGGTTGTACAGGAGAAGATCAAGGAGCTTAGTTTAGTGCATGTTAATTATGAGATACTTACTTGATTTTTAAACCAGGAGTGAAACTAGGAGACTGGTATCCTGAAAACCAAGTGAAGAAAGTGGAAGAGAATTTGGCCAACCATGTCCAAATATACTTTACTCAACCAATTCTGTTGAGTAAAGTAGTGATTGAGTTTAGCCACATGGAGATCCTTGGCTTTGTAGGCTAGTGGTTTCAGAGGGGGAGTAGGGGCTACATGCTAATTGCAAAGCTTTCAAGAATGTGGTAAGAAGAGAAATTGAAGGCAATGAGTGCAGACAAATCTTTTGCACAGTAAATGATTTCCTATAAAGGACAGGAAGGAAATGAGATAGTAGCTAGAGGGAGAAGTGGAATCTGAAGAACATTTTTAATATAGGAGAAATATATTTATGAGAAAGATAAAGTATATAGAAGACTGAAGTGAAGAAAATAGAGGTAGAAATAGATAGAAGATAGATAGATAGAAGATAGATAGATAGATAGATAGATAGATAGAGTTGCTGAAGCAATGCCTGTCAATAGATCAAAAGAGGATAGGATTGAGTGCACAGTAGAGGGGCTAGAATTAACAGCATGGAGATTTCATACCTTGTTACAGGAGAAAAGGTATGTAGGTGAGTAGAGATCTTATGGAAGATCTCTTCTGACTATTTCCATTTTTTAATATATATATATTGATTTCAGAGAGAAAGGAAGAGGGAGAGAAAGATAGAAACATCAATGATGAGAGAGAATCATTGATCGGCTGCCTCCTGCATGCCCTACTGGGGATTGAGCCTGCAACCTGGGTATGTGCCCTCGACTGGAATTGAACCCAGGACCCTTTAGTCCATAGGCCGATGCTCTATCCTATCCAGCTAGGGCTGTTTCCATTTTTTCATGAAGCAGAAAACACAGTGGTTAACTGAAAATGAGGAGGAATAAGAGATTTGAGAAGAGAGAAGGTATGATGTTGTTTATAGGACAGTGGGAGGGTGAATGGACTTGGGAAATGTATAATTCCAGGTAGCACCAATAACTCACTTGAGACAGGAAAATATATGTTGAGTAACAAGTTATTCAATGTGAGCTAAACTTCCAAGAGGAGAAAAAATTGTAGAAAGGCTGAATTATGGAGTTTTTAAAGGCTTGAAATGAAAATTTTCTTACCTCATGTGAGTCAAATTGTTTGAGGCTTCCACTCTCATTAAATTCAGCCAAGACATCCTTTATCTTCTTGGAAGAATCTGGAGAAACAGAGTCCACATGTGAAACACTGGTGAACAGCTGGTGGGAGATAAGCCAAGTAAATTCTCCCTGTCTAACCTTGGTTATGATGGAGCAGTCCCTCATTCCCAGGACCATACGGATAAATGTCACCCTACCCTTCTGCCCTCTCATTTCTTCTCTTTCTCTTTTTTCGTATACTCTCTCTCCTGCTGTATGAACTAGCTTACTAAAACTAAAACACAAGTCGAATCAGGCTATGTCCCTGCTCAAAAACCTTTCAGTGGCTCTCAGTTTTTCTAGGATAAAGCATAATCCCCTTATCTTAATATATAAGTATGTGGTAACCTAGTCTATTTCTTAATTCTAACCTTAGCTTGCCATGTTTCAGCCACATCAAACCAAATTTCCAGAAATCCCCGAATAAACTGTGTACGCTTCATGGTATTTCTTCTCTGTATTGCAAAGTTCACTCAATTCTCACCACTCAGCTCAAATATCAGCCCCTTTGTAAAGCATTTCTTTACCAATCAATTAATCATTCCCTTCCCTGGTTCTCATGTGACTTGTACATAACTCTGTAATAGCACTTGTCATATAGTGTTATAATCATTATGAGCTTGTTTATCTTGCCCATATCCTGCCTTAGTTCTACACTGAGAGCTTCGATGGGCTAGTGAATCTTTGTATATCATACCAAAAACATTTGAACAAAAAATTTAAAACATTTAAATTTTTGTTAATTAAATAGGATGGGTGGGCATTAAGCCATGTGATACTCTGTCCTTGGTGCTGAAACGGGAACTCAAGATTCATGAAAAATAGTGGTTTAGAAAATTCTGCTTTCCATAGGAAATAAAGCAGAATCTACTGGAGAAAATGGTGGATTCTTTTGATGGAAAGGTTTACAAAGAAATTAGAAGTCAAGAAAATAGAGTCTATAATTTTTATTATAAATACATTCTGAGTGCATCCGGTATAGTTACCAACGATATTGAAGAAAATCAGGTTTGCTGTGCTCTCCCTGTTTTGCAGTATTCTGGATAATTAAGAGCTTTTTAAGCTCCACTACTGCCACTATTTAGACATCTGAGCAAAGGGCAATGTCATTAGAAGCTGACACAATGTTCCTTGGTGTTCAGGCTCTTTGTACAGAGGTCTATGCTCTCTTGGGCCTACGTAAAGTAGACATGCTCATGGGCTGGGATGTTCTCCATGGCATTGCTGATTTGGATTCAATCAAGCACAAGTTATAATCATTTCAAGATTGAGACATATTGAAATGCCACAGGAAAATGCTGCTGATGCCTAAAAATGGACATTCTTTCTGAAAGTCAAAACAGATGTTGAAAAACTAATAGCTCAGTGAGATCCAGGCAGCAGATGCCATTGGTTTGGACTGCTTCCATTCAATTCAGAAAACACTTTGGAGAATAAGATGCTGTAAGGTACTGTTGATGAATTAGTCAGGGAGATGATCTGAACCACTGTGGTAATAATAACTTTCCTTTATTGGAGACCTTTACTGCATATTATCATATACTATCCCCTACCAATCCATACAAATTTGGTAATATTTTCTCAATTTACCCGTGAAGAAGCTGAAATTCAGAAAAATTAAGTCACTTGTCTAAGAATCAGGGTTTAACTCTGGTCTAGTCTGGCTCAAAAGTAAACATTGCTTCCCAAACATTTGCTAACACAAGGAAAAGTGTAATTGATGCTTTAGCAATGATATAAAGCTCTAGAAAGCATGTAGTAAAAGAAGTAAAATGAGTGGGGAGGAAGTCAAAGTAGGATGAAAGTGGTGTTTGGAATGAAGACTGGGGATACCCTTTGAAGAAGGTATCATTTGAGCTGGGGTGTAAAGATGCATAGGTTTTGAAAGGTGGACATAAGGTGGAAAAGGTATTTACAGAAGGGACAGGATATAAAAATGTGGAGTTGGGCATCACAGAACATTTAGGAAAAGTTAAAACTAGAGAGTAGTTTCAGAACAGATTCGTGGGGGCCAGATTTGAATGCCAAGTTAAGAACATTGATTTAAAACTATTAAAATTTTTTTGAGTAGTGGAATAATGTAATTGGGTCTCTGTTTCCTAAAGGCCACTCCTGCAACCAAATGAAAGAGAGTTTAGAATTAGGCCAGAGCTCAGTTAACACCATACATAAATTATATTCAAATTATTTTATGAGAAGCTTAATTATTTTTTAAAACCCCTATATTTTAGACTCTATTTTAATGGCAGATTTTCAGCTCAGCCAGAGTGGCCAAATTAATAAATGTAAATTTCAGAGCATGAGTCCTCTTGGTGTGAGAGTAGTATAGAGCCAGTATTTTGATTGAGGACAAGAGACTAATTTTAATTGAATTTATACTCTTGATTATTGTCACATTTTGTAGATTCCATAATTCATCCTAGCAGAAATCCTTTGGTTCTAAGTGCTATTGATCTAATTCTGATTTATATTTAAATGTATGAAATACATATCTATATGTAGATATATTTATGTGTATAGATATATATATACTAATATATAAACTACATATACACATGTCTCACATACATATATGTTATACATATATACACATTACACACATATATATTCATCATATGTTCATATTCAAGTACGCAGGTTTTAAAAGGGATAAAGAAGTATTATTTTTAATTTTTTAATTACTAGCAAAATAATTAGTAATTTATAATTACTAGCAAAAATATAAATAGCAAAATAATGCAAGATATTGCTGGATCCTTAATTTCCTTGAAAGTTCTTCCTCATCCCACATTTACTTTGTCTTGTTTTATGAGTTTATAGCAGCAATGCCTTTCCCTTTAAAAAGGAAAAACAATTGCACTCGTGGGGTATCTCCCAATATGCCCTCCCAATATGCCAAGGTTGTGGGTTCGATCCCTGGACAGGACACATACAAGAATCAACCAATGCATGCATATATGAGTGGAACAACAAATCTCTCTCTCTGTCTCTCTCTCTCTCTCTCTCAAATCAATAAATAAAAATTTTAAAAAAGAGAAACAATCTAATTCTCAAATATGATGCCTGTTACTTTCTCTTAGATGTCCTTTGATACTTTATCACAGTTTTCTTCTCAACAGATTTCTGGACTGGGTTTCTCTCTCCTGAGGAGTAAGTGGGTACTGCTCCATTCTGTTTCATCTTACCACAGTTAGAAACAATGAGGGGCTTCTTCAGAGCACTCCTATCTTACTCAGGCGCCACCTGTGGGCCAGTAGCACAAGCTCAGTTGGAACTCCCATTCAAAGCCTGCATGGTAGCACCACCACCAGACTCAAAGGTGATCAAGCTCCACTTCTAAATGTGCAAAGTAGGGCCATGCCCACCATCCTTTGCAACAATTCCTATTTTGTTGAGTACTAGACATTGCCCTGGTCACCTTGTATATTTTATTTAAATCTCCACAATGACCCTCTAATGTAATGACGACCCCTATTTTAGAGAAGAAGAAACTGAGGCTTGTGGACTTTAACTGACCCTTTCAAGGGTGCACAGCTAGCGAGTGGGTGACTGTGATTTAGAACATATCTAATAATGTGACACAGGTACTGGATTCATTGGATACATAACACTGGTAAATCAGAAAGTAAGGCCCTACCACTGTGACAGTGGCTCTCAAACCTGGCTGCACCTTAGAATAAAAAAATTCTGTAACACATTGAAACCGAGGTCTCACCCAGACCAATGAAGTCAGCATCTCTTGGGGGACCCAGGAATTGGTATATTTGAAAGCACACTTCGAGTTCCAATATACAGTCAAGGTTGAGAACTGCTGTGCAATGATGGGGTTTTATTGTGAGATATAAAGAATGCCTTAAGTAGCTGAACATATTGGATAATTCCTGCAAAGGAAAGCAAGGAATCACTCTGATAAATCTAAAATCACCATGCTTGGCAGATATTCCCTATTGTTTAAATGGACAACACTGAAGAACCCCACCCAAAAGGTCAACTTATTCAAATACTTTGCAAGGTAGGGATACGTTTTGCATTAGCCCAAACTGGCAGGACCATCAACATGCAGTTTTACCCCAAATCAGGAATTTAAAGACTCTTCTCTGTGATTAAGGCACTGGTGGTAACAAATACCCAAGGAAGTTCCAATCCAAAATTGCCTCTTTATGCTTTATGTGCCAAGAATTCTGGGACCTTAACCAAGCACTTGTTTCTAGTGTTTGAGCAAATTCAAAGCCCTTCTAAGGAGAAAATATGGCCCTTCTCACAGGCACCTTTGCTGCCACAGTCGCATCGGACAGGGATGCCCTCCATCTGAACAAGCAGACAACCAGGAACTTCAGTGTGTATAGTTTATGTGCTACCTACACCAGAACCCAAAGTTTATGGACCATCTTCCAATTAAGAACATTGAGCATCTGAGCCCTATCAGACCACTAAACTTTGAAATAACTATAAATCAACATTTTCAAAATGAATCTGAAAACCCACAGATGAGAATGAGATTCTAAGGTACATGGTAACTCTCCTCAAAATTCTCTAAGAGCGACTCAAACTGTAACATGCACATGAACTGCCTGGGGATCGGGTTTAATGCAGATTCTGATTCAGTAGGTCTGAGTCCAGGCCTGAGATTCTGCATTTCAAATAAGATCCTAGATGACTTCAAGTATGTAGGTCCGTGGACCTCACTTTTGATGAGGTCTTAAGCAATACTCCTGTATATCTGTGGCTGACTAGTAAGGCTTGCCTGTCACCACACAGAAAAATCATCAATAAAACAAATAAGCAAATGTGATGAGAAGGCTAGAGGAACATAGTCTACAGTTTGAGAAGGCCATAAATGACTCTCCACCCATGGAGGGAAAGACACAGGAGCAAGGGGAAAGAAAGTTGGTACATGAGAAAAAACAAGCAATTAGATTTTCCTTCTTCTGGTGAAGGCTGAGATGTATAAGTTTTCTAAGTACTCCAGGTAGTCAAGAACACAGTGAGATGCACAAAAGCAAGAATGAGCTTTTCCAAG